ATTCTTATTCCATTGATCAGTCTATTTCTCTTACAGTATGTTCACATCCATGTCCATAATATAAACTATTTTTAACACTTAGTAGAAAATCACATATATTAAGTGTTATTTTTTTTAAAAGAAGTCAATTTTAAAAATGACACTCACAAACCACTACAACAGCCAGCACATCACAATAATGGTAAGGGTGTAGTAGCGGCATGTGTACTTTGGCGGTAACTAATAATAGCTGTCTAGTTGGACTTAAGACCTGATCAACAAGAGGGACTTCATGCCTGGCAGTAGGAACTTAGCAAGCACCCAGGATGAATGAAGTTGAGGGTCTTGGAGCAGAACCTGAAGCTACCACTTCACTAAATCAGCAAAATCCCCAACTACATTAGAAATGGTTCTCCTGATAACCACAGGTGAGTGTAGTCTTCAACCCTCATCAAGAAAATTTGGCTTTGCAACAGTCAGAGATCATTACAGAAAACTACAGCCAATCAAAATGCAGAGTCATGGAGCCCAGTCCCAAAACATAGATCTAGAATACAACTCATGTGCCTAAGGCTCAGGGACCATTGTGTAAGGGGACAGAAAGCCTGTAAAAGCCAGAGAAACAGAGGTTACTTGAGATTGTGTCTCCTGTTAATGTCAGAAGTTAAACACATACACTTTCACTAACATGACTGATGAGATGTGAGCCAAATGAGGACACCAGTAGACAGGCTAACACGGATGAGGAAAGCCCAGAGACCTCATTCCTACCCTATACAAAGAACTACAGGCAACTAAGGAATGCCGAGAGCATGAGAAATAGTCTTTCTCAGAGAAGAGCACACCACTTGGTTACCCAATACTGAATGGGTAGCCCTGAAACATACATACAAGTAACATTATAAAGCCTGAGCAGGTTGTATTTGTCAGTTTATGAAATTATGTGTGTAAAAACAATTAATAAAACAAAGATCATAATTTGAAAGAGAGTAAGGAGAATTATATGGGAAGGTTTAGAAGGAGGGAAGGAAAAGGGGAAATGATGTAATTATATTATCTCAAAAATAATAAAAAAAAAGTTAAGATACATCAGAAACACACACCAAAATAATCAGTAAAAGGTTTCATCTCATGGAGCAGGACTCAAATCTGACCAGGAAGTGTTTGGTTACTCCCATGATATTTATGCCACCATTGCACCAGTAAACTTACCTTGTCAGGCCAGTCTTTACCATAGCTTGCAGCATTCACATCTGGGAGAGACTGATGACTACTTTCCTCCTCTGGTAGTGTGCATAACACCTTCTAACACTTAACCCAGGAAGGATGAAGCATCCAGGGCAATACCAGCTCAAAACACATTATATGAAATTCTCAAAGAACTAATAAATATACATTTTTTTATCATTATTATTTTTAAGATTTTTTTCATTTATTTTACACACCAATCGAAGATAGCCCTCTTCCCTCCTCCTGCCTCCCCCCAGCCTCCCCCTCCCATTCTATCCACTACTCTCCCCCACAAAAAGGCAAGGCTTTCCATGGGGAGGCACATCCAGTAGAGGCAAGTCCAAGCTCTTCCCTCTGCCTCAAGGCTGCACAAGGTGTCCCATCACAGCTAGTGGGATCCAAAAATGCCCCCTCATGCACCAAGGATGGATTCAGTTCTACCACCAGGGGCCCCCCAAGCAGATCAAGCTACACAATTGTCTCACCATGCAGAGGGTCCAGTCCCATGAAGGCTCCACAGCCATTGATCCAACTTTCATGAGTTCCCACTAGTTTGGTTTGGTCATCTCTACAGGATTCCCCATCATGATCCTGATGCACTTGCTCATAGAATCCCTCTTCTCTCTCTTTGACTGGACTCCTGGATCTCTGCCTGGTGTTTGGTTGTGAATCTCTGCATCTTCCTCCATCTGTCACTGGAGAAAAGCTCTGTAATGACAGTTAGGGTATTCACTGATCTGATCACTGGGGCAAGCCAGTTCAGTTCAGGCACCCTCTCCACTATTGCTAGTAGTCCAAGCTGGGGTCATCCCTGGGGATTCCTGGCAGCTTCCCTAGCACTGGGTTTCTCTCTACCCCCATGATATCTCCCTCTATCAAGGTATCTCTTTCACTGCTTTCCCCCTCAATCTCTGTTCCAGCTCAACCATCCCATTCCCTTATGTTCTCATCCCCTATCCCCTACCCTCCATTGCCCAGCCCTCATCCCCAGTTTACTCATGGAGATCTCATCTATTTCCCCTTCCCAGGGTGATTCATGCATCCCTCTTTGGGTCTTCCTTTTTAGCTAGCTTCTCTGGAATTGTGGGTTGTTGTCTGGTCATCCTTTGCTTTACATCTAGTATCCACTTATGAGTGGGTACATACTATGTTTGTCCTTCTGAGTCTGGGTTACCATACTCAGGATGACATTTTCAAGTTCCATCCATTTGTCTGCAAATTTCATAATGTCATTGTTTTTCTCTGTTGAGTAGTACTCCATTGTGTATATGTACCACATTTTCTTAATCCATTCTTCAGTTGAGGGGCATCAAGGTTGTTTCCAGGTTCTGGCTATTATGAATAGTGCTGCTATGAACATAGTTGAGCATGTGCCCCTGTGGTATGATTGAGCATTCCTTGGGTATATGCCCAAGAGTGGTATAGCTGGGTCTTAAGAAAGATTGATTTCCAATTTTCTGAGATATTGCCATTCTGATTTCCAAAGTGGCTGTACAATTTTGCATTCCCACCAATGGTGGAGAAGTGTTCTCCTTGCTCCACATCCTCTCCAACATAAGCTATCTGCAGTGCTTTTGATCTTACAGGTGTAAGATGGTATCTCAGAGTTGTTTTGATTTGCATCTCCCTGATGACTAAGGATGCTGAGCAATTCTTTAAATGTCTCTTGGCCATTTGAAATTCTTCCTTTGAGAATTCTCTGGTTAGATCTATAGCTCATTTTTTAATTGGATTGTTTGTTATTTTGATGTTTAGTTTCTTGAGTACTTTATATATTTTGGAGATCAGCCTTCTGTCAGATGTGGGGTTGGTGAAAATCTTTCCCCATTCCGTAGGCTGCCATTTTGTCTTATTTACTGTGTTCTTTGCCTTACAGAAGTGTCTCAGTTTCAGGAGGTCCCATTTATTAATTGTTCTCAGTGTCTGTGCTACTGGTGTTATATTTAGGAAGTGGTTTCCTGTGCCAATGTATTCAAGACTACTTTCTCTCCCCCAGAATCCCCACCTCAAAATAAATATAAATTTTAAAAATCAATTAAAAGAGGAGTTATTCTTAAAAACCTGTTTCTTGGCAAGATGTGCTGAAGTGTTTGGAATTCAAAAGCTAAGTTTGAAGATCACTAGAGAATTATGAAAGACAACTTAAAAACTAGGAAGATAATACAACAAGCAAACAGATGATAATGCTTTCATTGAAAATCTGCAAGAAAGGGCCATGGCAAAAGATCCAAAAAGTAACTCAGAAATTACTATGATAAAATATACCTGTTAATATCCTATGAAATACAAAACCATTTTTATCTTTGAAAGTGTTAATGGTGACTATTAATACACAATTGCTGGTAAATAAAGTCAAAATTCCCACACAAAGGGAGTTAAAGAATCAAAATGTTGATGGTTCTTAATTTACCAGAGTATGTGACATTATTAAATATGTTCACACCCCTTGCCTCATTGTTCAAATGTCTAGAGATTTGTATCAAGGAAGTAACAGTGACTGTGTGCCAGGATATCTGTAGGAACCTACAATGTTGTGCCTAATAAAGCAAAGTTAAAACAAATGTAGGCAATAGTTAGCATTCAGATATATTGCACTTCATTATTATGGTATGCCTTCTGTGTCAGCTCAAGCAAAATGCCTTGGGCTGGGTAGTTCAGAAAGACACGATGTTTATTTAGTACAAAGAACTGAAGCTAAATGTCACCAGCCTCCATGATGCTTTACTGAGGATGTAGAGGAAGGTGCCATTGCACTAGGGAAGCTCATAATGAAAACATCACATGACTATACAACAAGCCAGAGGGATCCAGCTGCAGGCTCTTGTACAATGACTGCTTCTCATGAGAGACCACCGAGGAAGAACTGTCTTAATTTCTTCAGAGGCCTCTTTGCCCAGTTGCCTAGTTCCCTGACTCTACATGTCACTTCTCTGAACTTCTACCATCTTTAGACATCAATGGAGTGGGGACAAAGCTTGGACCATGTTTACCTTTGGGGACCACACTTGAACATCTGCAAACCACAGTACCTCCTACCCATTAAGCTCATATAGGAAGATGAAGACAAAGCATTCTTTCATAATTTGAATTTATTCATCATCTGTGTTATATGGTAGAGTCTTCTAGGTATTAATGAACAAACAAAGCATAGGTGAGGGAAAACGCCCAATTCCATAGGGTTTATATAGAGTATGTGATGACTTCAGATGACAGGCATTTTGATAAAAGCAAAGCAAGTCACTGAAATAGAGGGAAGCAGGTTATAGAATACTATTTACAGTATGGTTTCATTTTCAGGAATAATAATATATACAGATAAAGCTTATATATCTAGTGGGATTTCTTACCGTCAAGTTCTTGATTCTTGATATTTAAAATGTTTATTTCATTATGCATCTTTTAACATTAATTTTTTCTGAGCAGAATAAAATTTCAATACTTTTATTATATTCTTTATTAACATCCCTTTAATATGATGAACTATTACAACTTTGTAAATCCAGTGATACAAATTGAAACTTATGTTTAGTAAAAAAATGATCTAAATAATGATTGATAAACTGTCTTTATTATCTTTTACACAGTTTAGGAAATATTTGGGGAGAATGCTATGTGTGCTCTACTTAAAATTGTTATATGCCCAGCTATGTAACAATCACTCGGGAATAAGTAAGTGTGTGTGTGTGTGTGTGTGTGTAGATTTAATTTTAATGTGGTCAATCTTCTTTCCTCTTTTACTTGGTTCTCTCCATCTTCCTTAACAGATTGTGCAGACCAATATCAACAAAGCAGATGTATGGTGATATATTGGGTAGCATAATAAACTTGCCTGATAATCAGAGGACAGAGCCAGCCATTAGACTAGACATTGAGGTCAAGAAGTGGTGGCACACACCTTTAATTCTAGTACTTTAGAGTCAGAGATCTGTCTGTATCTCTGTGAGTTCAAGGCCACCCTGGACTACATGAGATTGATCCAGTATAGGAGAGAAACAGAACCGGGCAGTGGTGGCACACACCTTTAATTCCAGTGCTTAAGATCTCATGCCTTTGCTTAGAAGCACACATGCCTTTAATCCTAGGAAATAATATGGCAGGGCAGAAAAAGATATATAAGGCATGAGGAAACAGGAACTCACTCTCTTTAGGCTAAGGATTTTGTAGAGGTAAGAACTAGTGGCTGGCTGTTCCGCATCTCTGATCTTTCAGCTTTTCACCCTGATATAACACAGATGCGTGTTTTTTTTTCCTACCCCTTTACCACACCAATGTGATATTGTAAGATGGACAGGCATAATTGGAAGGAGAGGTGGTCCTCAGATGAGGGTGGATGGAGCTGGAGAGGTGCTGGTGGCCCTGCCAAAATGTGCTACCTTAGTTTGGATCTGGAGTGTTTCCTGAGGCCCGTAGGTTAGATGTTGGTGCTTAACAGTGTGTGGAATGTGTGGATGTGGAAGACACCTAAGGAGGTGGGACAAGTGGGAAGTCTTCTGGGTACTGGATGGACCCTGAGCCATCTTCTCTGTCTTTCTTCCCGCCTCAGCTGCAAAGAGATGATGTACTCTGTTCTGCCTCCCATGATGCCTAGCAACACCCCAGTCTCCAAAACATTGGACTTCCTGATCACAGATCAAACTTTCCATGGCTGTAAACCAAGCTAAACATTTCTTCTGGAGCTGAGGAAAGCAAGATCCTAATTAGTCTTATCAATAAAAACCAGGAGACAGATATTGGGGTGAAAGCTGAAAGATCAGAGCAGCAGCCACTAGAGACTTGAGACTTCTTCTACAAATTCTCTGACCAAAGGGGGTGCCAAGATCCTGTCTCTACTTCCCAAGTGCTGGGATTAATGGTGTGAGCCTCCCAAGTGCTGAGATTAAAGGTGTGTGCCACCACTACCTGGCTTCTATGGTTAACTAGTGGCTAACTCTATCCTCTGATCTCCAGGCAAATTTTATTTGTCAGAAACACAAAGAAAATATCACCCAACAGCTGAGTGTCTCATCTCTGTCACTACTAAAGAAAATGTCATGAGCCCAGAGCAAATGTCCCGACAGCAGACCTGGCATTGATATCCCAGCCTGCACTGGGGCTTCTGCGCCTGGCTCTCCTTCCTGTTCAGGGAGATGTCTTCCACAGGAGAGCAACCCAGGTCCTAACCCAGGGTCTGACTGAAGTAAGATGGCAGAAACATGAGGTTCTGGAGTCTGGTGTGTTATATGAAAATGGACTGTGCTCCAGACGACATTTCCTCTCATTGTTTTTGGTGTTTTGTGGTGATCTAATTGCTCTGCTCCATCTGAATAAGCTGCCATCTCTGGCTCTCCTCCTTGCCCTCACACTCTCTCTTTGTATACCAATTTTAAAAGATAAATTTTAAGCAGACATAGGAGTGGATGTACAAGAGTGCATATATACATTTCTCCATGTTGTTTATACCTGACACACCTCAAATTAAGCTGGAAGAACTTTATATACCTCAGTACTTACATTTATCTGGGCTAAATTGAGAAGTGACATTTCTGTATGAAAATTTATGTTTCTTTGTTCATCATTTTGCTAGATCTTACCAGATTATTTTCATTAAAAATGAGAGCATCATTTCTCATTTTTATCAAAAATGAGTGAAAATTTCTTTCCCCCACACATCACTAGGAGGAAATTTATGTCCTCTGCACTTATAGTCTGTCATATATAGAGTGACCTGTTATTTATTTTATTTGCATTTATCTGACTACAAATGAATTTGACCATTTTATAGATTTGTGGCTTTAGCATTTGTGCATGGGTTAATCACTGCATTGCAATTTCTTTGTATTATTTTTCTTTATTGAAAATTTACAGTCACTCTTGTACACTGCACCTAATGATATTGCCATCTGTATAATCATTTTTCCAGCTCACATGTTTTCCTATTGACATTTTTCATAGTAACTTTTGCTATATAAAGGTTTATAGTTTCCTATAACTCAATATGCCTCTTTTCTTTTAAATATGTCAGGGCTTCAAGCTGTGGTGAAAACAGGAATATCTTGGACTCTTATTTTTAGTCTGCTAATATTTCGGTAATCATTAACTCTCTTCTCTTTTAACTTCCAGCCACCTTAATCCATCTAAAATCTACTTTAACATATGTGTAAGGCTGGAGTGAGAGTGGAGTTTGTCTTTAAGACAGACAGGCAACCGCGGTGCCTTTCATTAAGCAACCCATTGATTTATGATTACATTATGCTAATGCCTGCTTCTACATACTGTCATCCACTCTGTTTCCCTGATTTATTTCTTTAATTTCATGTTTCGGTGCAGTTGGTTAGCTCATTCTGAGCTGCTAACACTCCTGAATGCCACTGTCTGCTGCTCATTCTGCTAGCCTGATGAGCTCTTCAGAGGGGCGTGGCGACATGCTACCTGGTCACAAGCTTGCCTTTGCAGTTCACAGCAAATGAAGGAAGAAGTATTTATCTGTGTTCCTCCTTGAGACACGTTCTTGAGACATGTGAGTACTTCTTGACACATTTTCATCTTCATATATCATTGGCCAAATCAAGTCACACGGCCACTTTACTTTAAGGTGACGAAGAAGACTTTGAATAATTGTGTTCAACCATATGGGTTGATGGAAAAGTATCACAGTGGACTGATTGATTAGTCTCTGTGATATTGTGTGTTGGTGTGTCTCATCATCAAAAGTGTCTCATTATTTGATTTTGAAATTTTATACATAAATATATAAATTAATGAGCACATAGAGTGCACATTTTCATGCTGTTTACCCAGTTCAAACAGCAAAGGAAGCTGAAAGGAGCCTACTTATGTCCTCCTGTACTTGCTCTGTACTCCATGAGCTTGTCTCTTAAAATATCACATCTATTACATGTTCTGACTTTGATTTCCTTCTGGAATTCAGACAGACCATGCTTGACCTCATTTCTCTTTCATACATTTTATCACTTATTATTTTCTATCTCTATTATCTATCACCATTGCGTTAAGAATCATTTATTTGAGGATATTTTTTCCACTTACTATTTTTTTTTCCTGCTAAAACTAAAAACATAAATTTGCTTTATATTTAATTCTTAGTGGTTTTCATTGTGGGAATTCTATTTACTACTTTTACAAGTCTGTCGTGTTATTGTGATAGTTAACTTAATTGTCAACTGGATACCTACAATCTGTAAGCATTACAGCTCAGATCGTAAGGTATCCTGGCATCCAGGAGCCAAGGATTACCCCAGTCACACCACACAACAAACCTCACACAAGAGATTTATTGGGAGAAAAAAATAGGAGGGTGGCTGCCTCCACTTGGGCAAGAAACAGCAGGGAACTGATTATAAGGTGGGGCTTATAATAGAGTTCTTGGGAAGGGGGGTGAAGTTTTCCAGGGTGATGATTGGTGGGATTTCACATCCAGAGATTGGGCTTTTTACTCTGTAGGGTGGGGAGCAGGGTCCAGCAGTTAGGGCACTTAGGGTGTTCTGTGGGTAGAACCTGGCAGTTAGAGGTCCTTGGGAGAGGGGCCTGGCCATTTGTGTGGTTTGAGGGCCTTACACAGTCACCTGTGAAGAGAGTCTCAGTGAAGGATTGGCTTGGCCTGTGGGCATGTCTGAGGGGGATTGTCTTAATGAAGTTCATTGATAGAGGAAGACCAGCCTACTATGGGTGACACCATGCCCTGGACAAGGGGTTCTTAAATGTGTGCAAGTGTGGAGAAACTGTGCTGAGAACAAACAGGCAAGCAAGTGAGCATGCCACTCATCCACTTCTCTCTGCTCCTGACGGTGGATGTAACTGTGGTACTGTGGTTCGCTTCCATGGGTGTGACTTCCCCACCGTGATCTGTAATAAGCACCCTACTCCCCAAGTTGCTTTTTATCAGAATATTTTATTAAAGTGACAGAAATGAAGCTAGGACAGTTATCTTTAAGAAGTTCTTGTTTCTAAGGTGTTTTGTTTTTTAATTTATGTATCTTTAACCAAAGCCAGTGAGGTGCCATGCTGTATGTATGACAGATATTCATGGGGTGAGGTTCAAACTCCATTTTAAAGGAATCTTTTCTTCTCCTTCTTGGTTATAATGTCTTGATTCCCGGTGTGCTTTGAGACTTTTATTGTAATTGCTAACATTTCTCGAATTGCTATTTGTGAGATTACTTTAAGGTAGAGGACAGGAGTGGTTTCATTTGGGAAATATTTTCTCTCCTTGGCGCCTTTCAAATTGGAACCACTTTAAATTAATGGCTATGAGTGTTTTGGACCCATGTTACTTACAATGGGCTATAACTGCAGGCTGCAAATTCTTATTTATTTTATGTATATGAGTGTGTGTGTGTGTGTGTGTGTGTGTGTGTGTGTGTGTGTGTGTGTGTGTGTGTATACTCACCTGACCAACACAAGTGACTCTCCTTGTAGCTCCTTGGGAAAAAGGATCAGGAGATTTAGATGAAGCAAAGATTGACCTCTACTGGAGGGCCTAGCTATGACCCACTTTCACTTATGTATTTCCTTTTGGAATACCCTTCTTGATAGACCCTTGGTTTTTAATCTCTTCAGGTGCCTAGGAAGCCAGTCACATTAAAGATCCAGACATTTCTGGTAAGGGAAGGTGAAGTGTTGGGGGAATTATCCCACAGGAGACAGGCACCCCCATCCCCCCTCTTTCTCTCAATATGCAAGTCCTAGGAAACATTAAGAATTTTGAAAAGAACTCACTTTTGAAGATTAAACCTCTGCTAAGTGAAAATCTGAAGTTTTCCTGAGAGCACATCTGGTGTTCTGCAGCTACAGAGATGAAATCCTCGGCTTCTTCCACCTAACACAAAGATGGAGTCTCAGAACATGGCTGGCACATAGCAGGGTGGGCTGGGAGAGTGTAAAGGGTTAACATTAGAAGCAGAAGGTCAGGAGAACTGCTGAGTCCACAGGCAACATCTTGCTTGAAACTTCATAGGTCAAACACAGCTGTGAAAGTTCCAGGAGACCCTGGAGCTGCAGAGGATAACCATAGCACCCAGAGGCTGTGACTCTGACCTCAGATGCCCTAGTACTCAGGTCAACAAAAATTTCAGTTTTAATCTGAGCAAATTA